TACAAAATATCTTCATGGAACATGATCTTTACTTAATATCCTAATGATTTTTGGCATAAAGGAAAAATTTATAATTTTGACCCATACAATGTATTGTTGGCTATTGCTACAAATATCCCCCAGCGACTTAAGACTGCTTTTGTGCTCCAGGGTCACAAATAAGATCTCAGGTCTTGTGCTTCTCAAATGTTTCTTCTCAAAATGATCCCAATAATCTAAAAAATATCTCACTTTGTGCTCAGGATATCAAATATTTGCCAAGATTAAAGTAATCAATCAAAAACATTTTGAAGAGAAATGTTTGTGTGGAAATCAAAAGAGATTTCAATACGAACTTGATTTCTCAGTTTGCCACGTGTAGTTTCACTGTCAGCAGCAGTACTAGCTAGACAATGCTCGTTAGTCCGTTCAAATTACCATAGAATTTGAAAAATGAGGATACAGAAGGAGGAAAAAACATCCTCTCATGTTTTTCTCTTTCAGGGTGAACCATTTCAACCTCAAACATTTGACAGTTCTGTAGTGTGTGAAAACCCCAACAACAACCTCAACCTGTTCAAAGGTTATGTGTGAGTATCTAAAATCAATTTCACTCAAATCATTCAATTTCATGCACAATTAACTGCATCACGACTCCATCATCATGACTGCCTCTTTTGTCAGATCCGCACCAATGAACAGCATTTGTTTGGCCTTCACATTTTGTCATTCGCTAACCAGGGAAACTGCTTAAACCCTCTGATGCGTCGCAAAGGAAAACATGTTAATGCTCCTTCTTTACTTAAAAACTAGTATATAACTATTACCAGTTTTCTCGTGAGAGGAACAATCTGTCCACTGCAACAGAAAGTAATGGTAAATATGTCAGAGGTTGATGCATGAGCACTTTCATCAGCCATGTTGAGTTTATATTGTTATAAATAATAAAAAACACATATAAAAAGGACATTCATCTGATATAATGGGTAAGGCTCAAAGGTCATGGAAGTAACATCTACCTGAATGGTACAAATGGGTTTGAGTAGAGGACACTAGCATCAGGGTTAAAGGAAATAGTTCACCAAAAAAAAATGAAAATCTGCTGGTAATGTATCGGGTCCTCTGCAGTGAATGGGTGCCGTCAGAATGAGAGTTCAAACAGCTGATAAAAACATCACAATAATCCACAAGTAATCCACAGCACTCCAGTCCGTTCCAAACCTGTATGAGTATTTTTCTTCTGTTGAACACACACACACACACACACACACATACACATACACACACACACACACACACACACAAATAGATATTTTAAATAATGTTAGTAACTAAACAGTTGATGGTACCCATTGACTTAATATGGCAAAAAATACTGTGGAAGTCAATGGCTACCATCAACTCTTTGGTTACAAACATTCTTCAAAACATCTTCTTTTGTGTTCAACAAAAGAAAGAAACTCATACAGGTTTGGAAAAACTTAAATGATGACAGCATTTTCATTTTTGGGTGAACTACCCTTTAACTTCAAACGGTTACTAAAATACGAGTCCATAATCCATAATAATGCTTCCTCCAGTGAAAAGTGGTCTGGTCTGAATCAGGAGAGAAATCTGCACAGATCAAGCAGCGTTTAAACAGTCCAAAACAGTTCTAAACAAATATGTGGCTGGATTGTGATGTGAGAGACAACAGGAGATTGTTTTCACTAGACTTTTTCACTGGAGGAAGCGTTATTATGGATTATGGACTCATATTTTGGCCAGAAGCAACTTTTTAAGTTAAAAACATCTTAATGATGGATGTTGTTTAAGCTTTCGTCTTCTCAAGACATTAACTGATGGACTGGAGTGGTGTGGATTACTTGTGGATTATTGTGATGTTTTTATCAGCTGTTTGGACTCTCATTCTGACGGCACCCATTCACTGCAGAGCATCCATTGCTGAGACACTGATGCAATGCTACATTTCTCCAAATCTGATGAAGACGCAAACTCACCTACATCTCAAATGGCCTGAGGGTGAATAAATATTTAGCACATTTTCATTTGTGGGTGAACTTTTCCTTTAAATCTCCATTGCAAAGTTTCCCCACACATCCAGGGCATGAATTAGGCTGGAAAACAGATTTGGCCCCTTTTTTTGTCCCGTTGCAGCCATATTAACTGGGTTATCACGCTGAGAGATGATTCTGATGTTCCCAAGCATTATAAAGCTCTTATCCTGCTCCTCCATTCAAAGACGGGCCCGCTCCTCACGTGGCACACACAGAGGTAATTAGTCTGGGTGACTAAGGAAGATGCTGTGTTTGATGTCACAGGGAGAGGCCTGATAAGAAGAGAACGGGCTTCGGCATCGATAGTCTTCTGTTGCGCGGCTGCACGGTGAGAAATACTGATGATGCAGCTGGAATAGTGGTGTACGCAGGTACATTTCATCACCACATTAAGCATTACACTTCACAGTACTGTGTGCTCACATGGGATACACTAAAATACACTACATTTACATTTACATTTAATCATTTAGCAGATGCTTTTATCCAAAGCGACTTACAAATGAGGACAATAAAAGCAATCAAAACCAACAAAATAGCAATAATATGGAAGTGCTGTGACAAGTCTCGGTTAGCCTAACGCAGTACACGTAGCAAGTACACATTATTTTTTAAACAAATAAAAATATTTAAAAGGAGATAAAATAGAGATAGAGCTAGTGTTAGAGGGTGAAGTTATTGTTATTATTATTATTTATATTATTATAATAATTAAAAAGAAAACAAGGAGATATAGAAATAGAATAGAGAGTGCTAGTGTTAGAGGGTCAAGTTTTTTAACAAATAACAAGAAAACAAAAGTAGATAGAATAGAAATAGAATAGAGAGTGCTAGTGTTAGAGGGTCAAGTTTTTTAACAAATAACAAGAAAACAAAAGTAGATAGAATAGAAATAGAATAGAGAGTGCTAGTGTTAGAGGGTCAAGTTTTTTAACAAATAACAAGAAAACAAAAGTAGATAGAATAGAAATAGAATAGAGAGTGCTAGTGTTAGAGGGTCAAGTTTTTTAACAAATAACAAGAAAACAAAAGTAGATAGAATAGAAATAGAATAGAGAGTGCTAGTGTTAGAGGGTCAAGTTTTTTAACAAATAACAAGAAAACAAAAGTAGATAGAATAGAAATAGAATAGAGAGTGCTAGTGTTAGAGGGTCAAGTTTTTTAACAAATAACAAGAAAACAAAAGTAGATAGAATAGAAATAGAATAGAGAGTGCTAGTGTTAGAGGGTCAAGTTTTTTAACAAATAACAAGAAAACAAAAGTAGATAGAATAGAAATAGAATAGAGAGTGCTAGTGTTAGAGGGTCAAGTTTTTTAACAAATAACAAGAAAACAAAAGTAGATAGAATAGAAATAGAATAGAGAGTGCTAGTGTTAGAGGGTCAAGTTTTTTAACAAATAACAAGAAAACAAAAGTAGATAGAATAGAAATAGAATAGAGAGTGCTAGTGTTAGAGGGTCAAGTTTTTTAACAAATAACAAGAAAACAAAAGTAGATAGAATAGAAATAGAATAGAGAGTGCTAGTGTTAGAGGGTCAAGTTTTTTAACAAATAACAAGAAAACAAAAGTAGATAGAATAGAAATAGAATAGAGAGTGCTAGTGTTAGAGGGTCAAGTTTTTTAACAAATAACAAGAAAACAAAAGTAGATAGAATAGAAATAGAATAGAGAGTGCTAGTGTTAGAGGGTCAAGTTTTTTAACAAATAACAAGAAAACAAAAGTAGATAGAATAGAAATAGAATAGAGAGTGCTAGTGTTAGAGGGTCAAGTTTTTTAACAAATAACAAGAAAACAAAAGTAGATAGAATAGAAATAGAATAGAGAGTGCTAGTGTTAGAGGGTCAAGTTTTTTAACAAATAACAAGAAAACAAAAGTAGATAGAATAGAAATAGAATAGAGAGTGCTAGTGTTAGAGGGTCAAGTTTTTTAACAAATAACAAGAAAACAAAAGTAGATAGAATAGAAATAGAATAGAGAGTGCTAGTGTTAGAGGGTCAAGTGTTTTAACAAATAACAAGAAAACTAAAATAGATGTAATAGAAATAGAATAGAGAGTGCTAGTGTTAGAGGGTAAAGTTTTTTTAACAAATAACAAGAAAACAAAAGTAGGTAGAATAGAAATAGAATAGAGAGTTCTAGTGTTAGAGGGTCAGTTTTTTTTAACAAATAACAAGAAAACAAAAGTAGATAAAATAGAAATAGAATAGAAAGTGCTAGTGTTAGAGGGTCAAGTTTTTTTTATAATAAATAAAAGAACACTATATCTACTTACTACATATGCTACTTTACATATGTCATTATTTTGTGAAGATGCACATCATTTAAACAGTTATTGTTTATCAAAATAATTTATCATTTGTAACATTTTACTCTCTCAGAAAAAAAAATTACTTTTCAAAACATACACCTTTGTACCTTTTTTAACCCCGAAGGGTGCATATTAATACCTTAAAGAGAAAGTTCACTAAAAAATTTAAATACTGTTATCAGCAAACTCTAAGAAGATAGCAAAGACATTTATAATGTTACACAAGATTTCTATTTCAAATAAATTATGTTTTGAACCTTCTATTTTTCAAAGAATCCTGAAAAAATGTATCACAGTTTCCACAAAAATATTAATATTATAATGATTTCTGAAGGATCGTGTGACACTGAAGACTGGAGTAATGATGCTGAAAATTCAGCTTTACGTCACAGGAATAAATTATATTTTAAAGTATATTAAAACAGAAAACAGCTACTTTAAATTGTAATAATATTTCACAATCTTACTGCTTTTACTGTATTTTAGATCAGAAAGTTAACAGATGTTTAATCAATCGATCAATGCATGCAGCCTTGGTTGTCTTTCGAAAACATAAAAAAAAACTTTATATTTATTGTTTTACTTACTAAATTACTTTCTCATTCTTTTCTTTAGTTTTCCCATATCTCATCTGCAAACTGTTTTGTTTTTATAAATCATAATGCACATTTTCATTCATCATCCCTGATTCTCATTTGTAACGATAAAGCCTAATATACTGTGACTGTAACATCTAATAGTGCAATAAGCCCATGCTATACTGCTAAACTCTGTTTCTTAAGTCTTTAACATCCCATTTACACCGGCAGCGACGCAACAAACTAGAACGCTCTCCCATTATAATCAATGAAGCTGTCTGTAACGCGAACATATAATAGGCGCATTATACTGCACACAGATGGCAGCTGAAGTTTTCTGTAGCCCACTGTTTCTCTTCTGATAAATTATACACATGGCATGGCTTATAAATGGCCGTTGCTATTTTACAAATGTTCTTGTTTTAACACCATGATTTATTCATTGCAGGACACGAAACCAAATCCATGTTAAACAACAGCGGGCCCAGGTACAAACGCAGCAAGATCGAGAGGAAGATGAATACGGATGTGCTCTTCTGTGTGGTTCTTCTATTTTTCATGTGTCTCATCGGAGCCCTGGGTACAGTACAGGGAACAAGCCTCTCGATAATTCAAGACGCACTACACGCTGAGCACAAAGTACATTACTTTAACATACAAGCTACAAAATGATGCTCGGATTCTGAACTCCGAAAACAAGGCTCGGGTCTGTGTCTGTCCTTGAGATAAAGAATAAAGTGTTGTTACGACCTCACGCAATCCTCGCCTCTTTTCCTTCTGTAAGGCGTGAGCCTAAGAAGGACACTACAGACACCCAGAATAGCTCACTCACACGCCAGTGTCTTATGAAAGCAATGATTAAGCTCGCTCTCTTTCTCTATGGTTCGAGCTCAGTGATGCTTTATTGGAATATCTGCATTGAAATACAGTACTGTCAAAAGCAATGTCATTAATGAATGTAAATGTCTCTTTCTCACAGGCCATGCGATCTGGTTGGAAACTTTTACCAGCAAGCCCTCATACATCGTCCCTGACAGTAATGGCAATTATACTCCTTCAGTCCTAGCGGGATTTTACATGTTCTTCACCATGATCATCTTACTACAGGTACACAATCAGTCACTCGCACGGCGTATGTGACCCTGGAGCACAAAACCAGTCTTAAAGGGGTCATATGATGCGATTTCAATTTTTCCTTTCTCTTTGGAGTGTTACAAGCTCTTGGTGCATAAAGAAGATCTATAAAGTTGCAAAGACTAAAGTCTCAAATCCAAAGAGATATTCTTTATAAAAGTTAAGAGTCAGCCACGTCTACCTAAAACGGCTCGTTCTAACACGCCCCCACATGTCTATGTCACTATGTGGGAAGATTTGCATAACGCCGCCCAAATGGTCACGCAAAGAAAGAAGGCGTAACTTTTATGCTCGCTGTAGTATTGTTGCTGCCACCATGTCGTGAAGGCGCACAACTTTAAAGATGATTTTCTCAATATTTAGATTTTTTTGCACCCTCAGATTCCAGATTTTCAAATAGTTGTATCTCGGCCAAATATTGTCCTATCCTAACAAACCATACATCAATGGAAAGCCTATTTATTCAGCTTTCAGATGATGTATAAATCTCAATTTAAAAAAAATTACCCTTCTGACTGGTTTTGTGGTCCAAGGTCACATATGTTAAGTACGTTTAAGTGACAGTAATGGCTGTGTTTCATCAAAACTAACTAGTTTTAAACTTCATTTCTTCACCCCCATTTAGCCTAAAATGAAAATTTTGTCATCATTTACTAACCCTGAAGTTGTTGAACAAAAGAAGATATTTTAAAGAATGTAGGTAACCAAACAGTTACTGGTAGCCATTGACTTCCATAGTACTTTTTTTCCGTACTGTGGAAGTCAATGGGTACCAGCAGCTGTTTGGTTACCAACCATATCTTCTTCTGTGTTCAGCAGAAGAAGGAACTTCAGTTTTTTTATCAAATGTAAAGCATCTATGTCTATTTATTTATATAAAACATCCCATATTTTTGCAGAAGACCATGCTAGCACATGGTTTTTGCTCATTACAAAAACAATTTAATTAAAAAAAATGTAATAAAAAAAAATTACATTTCTTAAACATTTCACACCTTGGTAACATTGGACCATTTCTGCTGCATTGCATTTTTTTCCATTTTCAAACAACTTGTATATAGTGACGCTCAAATTACTATAAGACACAATGATCAAACTAATTTTTTTCTTTAATTTATGGAAATGTAGGATGATCAGTAACTACAAACCAATATTTTGGTCCTAAACTGGCTGGCCCTGACTAAGTAACATCTTAATTTATCTAAGTTTGCAACACTGACGTATTTATTTATTTACATTTATGATTTTAAACTGTATTTAGATGTCCAAAATTTTGTAATTGAAATATGAAATAAATCTAAAATAAAATTGCTTATAATATTTAGTTTCACCTTCTGAGGTGAAAATGTGAAAATCCTTAGTTAAAAACCCCTTAACTGTCACCGTCCCACCTGTCATATTACAAAATGCATTATGGTCTTTTAGAGTCAAACCTTTTTATAATCTTGACAAAAAACATATCATTGGAAAGGTCTGAGTCTCAGGATTCCATATTTGGTGGTTATTTTGAGATCGAAGTAATATTGACAGAGAAATCTAGACATTTGTGACAGAAAAATGCATTAAAAAATGTAATGGAGTTTGGATGGCACCCGGTGGCTGTTTGTGGTATGACGCCCTAAATCAAATGTCACAGGAATCTCAATTTTTTTCATATCAACTTCAAATTTGGAACATAACTTGTTTAGACATAAGGCTTTAATTTTATACCAATTTTAGAGTAAAACCTGTTATGTAAAATATTTATAATAAATAAAATAAAATAAAATTAATATAGTGCATTTTATTTACAGTACATTTAAACTTCTATAACTTTTTGATACTTTAATTAAAAAAAAAATAATAATAATTTTAAATACTTTTGCAATAATCTGCTGACTTTCTTCTTTAAAAAGAGACCAACCTTAGGTCTGTATTCCAAAGTGTTAATAAATTACAACAATTTAAGTTTGGATAGTGCACTTTAATGCCTATTTTAAAAAATGGGGGGTGACAGTTAAGGGGTTAAGCTTTATATTGTACCGTGTTCATTGAAAGAGCCAGAGGCTGAGATTGCAGATGTTTATCTGGCTCCTAACACTAATTTTTCCAGGACTTTCTCTCCAGGTGATGATCCCTGTTTCACTGTACGTGTCCATTGAGCTGGTGAAGATGTGGCAGATCTTCTTCATCACTCAGGATGTGGAACTGTACGACGAGGAGCTGGACAGTCGGGTCCAGTGTCGTGCTTTGAACATCACTGAGGACTTGGGACAGATCCAATACGTCTTCTCGGATAAGACAGGGACGCTCACAGAAAACAAGATGGTGTTCAGGCGCTGCTCCATCATGGGGACTGAATACTGTCATGAGGAGAACGGTGCGGTTGGAGAGTTTGTCTCTGTGCTGATTACTATAATATAAGCTTTTAAATAGGGCTGCCCTCGACTAAAGATTCTTCTGGTTGACTATTTGTCATTCATTGTAAGCATTAGTCGACTAATCGTACGTTTATTAATAAACCATTTAAATCATGCTAATGAGACTTTAATTGCCTACATAGCCTAATAAGCGCTCAAGCGCACGCATAAAGCTTGCCACAGCACACCGGCAGAAGTAATGATGAGGAATGTGTCAGGGAAAAACAGTAAGATTAAACTGCATTAACATTTTAATAATCTATTGATAAACTAGTGTTTTCTGT